TTCCCAGCAAATTAAAGCAGCTTTTAAGTGCAAAAATGATTGAATAGATCAAGGCTGCTTTTCTATGTGGCCTTGATCTGTTCCATTGTTTTTCCAATTGAAAACAAGTTAAGTGTCTGAAATTCCTAGATATTTTCCCTGTGTATATCAAACATTACTTCCAGGCTCTCAGGGCAAAAATCGCACTGAGCATATGTAGATCAAATGCATTACACTACAAAACACTATTGCTCTAACATGCTTACTGTGGATATCCAAAGACACAGAATTAGGTTTTCCTGACCTGTAACTTCAGACACAGCCATTCACAGCCATTTTAGATTTTGTGAAGATTTGGGGAATAAAATATTTTTTTGGACATTGACTGTCTTATAAAAGCAGCACTTAATCAGTAAACACACAAGCTGGGGGCTATGGGCATAGATGAGGTGGTGTGTACGTGGATAGAGAACTGGCTACGGGAACGTGTCCAGAGAGTATCTGTAAATGGCACCTTTTCAGACTGGGCTAGTGTAATGAACGGTGTGCCTCAGGGTTCTGTGCTGGGTCCCATATTGTTCAACTTATTTATTAATGACATCGGGGAGGGTGTTAACAGCGATATTTCCGTGTTTGCGGATGACACCAAAATAGGGAGGGTAATAGACACGGACTTAGACACTATAACATTACAGGAGGACCCGGATAAAATAGGGGAGTGGGCATTAATGTGGCAGATGAGGTTTAATGTCGATAAATGCAAAGTAATGCACTTTGGAATTAAAAATAAACAAATGGGTTATACAATTATGGGTATGCCGCTGGGGAAGTCAGAAATGGAGAAGGATTTGGGGGTCATTGTAGACCACAAACTGAAAGGTAGTTTGCAGTGCCAGGCTGCTGTAAACAAAGCTAGCAGGGTCTTGTCCTGTATTAAAAAGGGGATGTATTGCAGGGACAAGTCTATAATTTTGCCACTTTATAGATCATTGGTTCGACCTCATCTGGAGTACGCGGTCCAGTTCTGGTCACCAGTACTAAGAAAAGATGTCCTTGAGTTGGAAAAAGTCCAGCGGAGGGCAACCAAACTAATTAGGGGTATGGAGGACCAGAGCTACGAGACAAGGCTACTAAATTTAAACATGTTCACATTGGAGGTGAGGAGATTAAGGGGGGATATGATCTCCATGTACAAAATGTTCAATGGTGGTAGCAACATTAGCGATAAACTGTTTAAAATTAACTCCATTACAAAAACTAGGGGCCATCACCTAAAATTGGTGGAAAAAAAATTCCAGCACAAGGGGCGAAGGGGGTTCTTCACAGTAAGATCAGTTAGGGTCTGGAACTCACTGCCACAGGCGGTGATTTCAGCAAATAATGTGGAATCGTTCAAGAAGATTTTGGACGATTTCTTAAGGGACCGCAATATACAGGGGTACAGGTAATATACAGGGGTACAGGTAATATACAGGGGTACAGGTAATATACAGGGGTACGGGTAACATACAGGGGTACAGGTACTCCTAGAATGAGATCCTAATAGGTTGGACTTGATGGACTAATGTCTTTATTCAACCTCAAATACTATGTAACTATGTTACTTTAGGGAGACTGTTTTTTGTTTTTGTACATTATCTATATATTATGTATTTATTATGGCCAAAACACACAAAAATATTTAGGCAATATAAAATATTGCATGGAAATATTTGTACTCCTATATCCCTCCTGCAGATGGAAATCTTATTTTATATACAAATAATTGTGTACATAATTTTTTTTTATTAAAGGAAGGAGTTTTTGTGGGGGTTTTTTCGTTTTTTTTTCAGTTAATGGATTTTTTTCTAACAGTGTGGTCTCTTTATTTACATTTTACTTTAACCCTTTAGTGAATGACTAGGGGTACAAGTAATTATCCCTTACTCATTCACTAGGGGGGCAGCACGATGCAAATAAGCCCCCCTGCCCGCAGACCATCACAACCAATGGGTCAGGGTTGTTGCGGAATTGGCCCTTGTCCTCTTCGGGGGGACCCTGGAAAAGCACCCTCCCAATGCCGAGGGCATGTGGCCTGGTATGGCGCAGGGAGGGAGGGCCACTTGCTCCTGTCCTGCCAGGCCAGTGTTCTGATTAAGGGTTTGGTTGCGAATTGAAGTTACGTTTTTTTTTCCAGTTTTTTGGGGGTGGGGTTCC